AATAAAATACAAGATATAAAAGAATTAATTAGTAGTGTAGTAGTAGTAGTGTAGTAGTAGTAAGAATTAATTAGTATCTGTATGGAATAGGAAAACATTATCAAAATTTAAGCATGTTGCAATATTTTTCGCCTTTTTCTCTTCCCAATTTTCTCGAAAAAAATTGAGGTTTGTACATGGTTCGTTCATGTTTTCGGGATTAAATAGAAAATAATATTCAGAAACTTTTTAATGTTATAAGCATAAAATAACATAAAAAATTTTTAGTAGCATACTATAATTAATTTATTATATTTAGTAAAACCGAGAGTACGAAAAAGTAAAATGCTAATAATTATTTTACATACTTATTTTTATAATATATTAACTGTAGCCTAATTTTTATAGCCTATTTATTCGTAATTATTAACGATGCAATTTTATGTAATATTAATTAAAACAATGTAGAAATGATATAAAATTCGATACATTTTACGTCGTGGAACAGAACAAAATTTTTTATATGCGTAAATTATCTCAGAATTAAACTGACACATATATCAGTTAAATTAAAATATTTTCTGTACTGAAATAATTTCTAATGTATATTACGGTGGAAAAAATATTAATACACGCGCGCGTTGATATTTATAATAATGCCATTTCTGTATCGAAAAATTTATAAAAATGTATATTGAAAGCATGAAAAAGTCATATTTATTTTGCGGATGGTCGATCACTCATTTCGGATTTTATGTCATTTCTCACCAAGTGGCATACGAAACTTTGGTCATTATGACGTGTAATCGGCCGAAGTTTCTTCCAGCTGTGAGCCCACTTTTATTGTTGGCTTATAATACGATAGTTTTGTCACGTCGTCGTTCATCAAGTATCTTATTCCAAATGTCAAATACTTGCGAATCAATGTTGACAGCAAATACGTTTAGTGTTCGTTGCTTTTAGCTAAACTCGCAAATTATAAAATTTATCTGATATAGAAAACAATCGATTAGTATGTTGATACGTTGTATATTTGTGGAATATTTAACATTTGACTCTTTATAAAATTTTTGTTACATATTGACATGTGTAACAAATCGTACTTATTAATATTTAATACACGAGAAATTAGATTTTTTAATTTAACGCTTACGTTCTTTATGTCGTTTTCTAGGAATATCAATCATTATTATTTACTATTTAAGGGCAATTTAGAGTATTGACTCTGTATAAACTATACTTGATGAAAATGGAAACATTATCGAGTACAAATAAAACGACAAATATGACAACAATAATCGATTAATAATCAAAGCGTACTCGCAATTTTTACATTTGTTATAAAAATGCTTGATGTTCGAGAATGACGTGAATACGCATTTTAGAAAACAATTAGGAAATTCTAAAAAATTAATTGCGTGATTAGCGAATAATGATTTATTATTTTTGCACCTAATGATAAATATCATGTAAAAGGTGCTATTTTAATATTCTTCCTTAATATCGATAATTCAATATCGATATCAAATATCGAGAAGCAACTTCCCAAACTATACTGTTTCCGAACAATATATCGAGCTGTCATTCGCCTCGGTTTCTCTCGAGAACTGTGTTTTGCCCGGCTAAAATGCGAAACGTCGCGTACACTTGGCAAGACGCAAGGAAAATGCGAGCATTTCATCGGCGGGACGAAAGGTACACGCGACACGGAATGATTTGGAGCGTGAAAAGTGTAACACGGAAAAACACTCGCGCCGGCTCCCCGAAGATTGGAAAATCTCGTTCGGAGTAGGCGAAATTTCTTTTCGTCGCTGATTTTTCTCGTTACACGTTCTGGCTCGGTACCCTTTAACCGTATTGACTGCCGCGGAACATTATTTCATTGTGTTTACTAGACACGTAATCACACCGAACGAGAATCAGGCATACAACCATATGTTTAACATTTGTCTTAGCTCGGTATATTAGTCCGTACATTTACCAGAACGAATTTATCGTGCAAAGAACTACATGTTCATGAACATTCGATCGCGATAGCCAGTAGAGACATAGTGACTGGAAAAGGAAGAATTTGTCGTGCGGTCGAACGCAGTGTACGCGATCTTCTAGTATTCAAATTATAATTGAACATAGCTGGCATTTATGAATATAACACGTCGTGTGCACTATCTTATTTGCGATTATTAAGCCCCGACGTCGCCGGTTGAATATTTGACGACCCCGGCTGAAGCGTAGCTTCGTTTGGCGTATCGATTTTTCTTGATTGCTCGGTCCCGACCGTTCGATTTGCGACATAATAAAATTTAACAGGATGGCCGCGGGGCCGGAGGGGGGGGATATCGAGGACAATACATAAACCGATATACGAAGCAACGTGTACAGAACAGATTTTACGGAATGGCAAGGGAAATGTAACCGCAGATTTAGAATCCAGAGCAGGGCGAGCGAACCTCGCGGGTCAACGAGCGGACTAATTTCACTCTTGATTCCGCGCATTAGTTCTGCTATCGACATTCGCCTCGAGGGCCTGAGAGCGTTAATTCTCGAGCGTGAAGAGTCCAAAGAAATATTCCGATCGACAAGAATTGCAACTCGTACACCTGAAATTTCTAGAAACGGCGACAGCCACTTACTCGAGTCTCCTTAATCTTAATTTATCGCGAGATCTCTGTCGTCTTGGCAAGACTAAGGCGTGATGTGTTATTGCCACCTCTATTTAGTCTTAGTCAACGTTTAATTAGCTAGCTTCGATTTAATTAATTGGCGATTGTTTTTCGAGTCAACGGCAATAAGAGAATATTTACGTTAATGTTTTATTAATTTTTAATTGAGAAGTCGTGTCTTTTGTTGCACGAATAATGTTCGCTAAATTAATTATATCTATGACATCTATAATTCTCTTCTTAACGGTCGATGGTTTTAATTAAGAAATCTTTGTCCTCTACGTTTCTTCTGCGTTTCTCACTTTCGACAATGACGCAGCAATTCTGGAAAATTTTACTCGTTCAAGAGTTATTAAACGGAGCAGGGAATATCTTCGATGTTCGGGAATGCAAATTTTCGAATGACAGAGGGTTTATATGCCTTTGCTCGTTCCGGATCAATGTCTCGCGACCGTCGGTGCTTGTGCGCTGAGAATATGCTCCCGATATCTATTCATAGCGTGTGGCCTGACATAGAGCTAAATTTTTTTCCCCTGGCAGGCGAATGAAATACGGCCTATTTTTTCGTTGTACCTTCGGAATGGGCTTTCGTGTCGCAGCGTGGATTTTTGATTGAACGGCGAAGGGTCTCGACATCCTCAGACCGAGTTGCCGCGTTGCGTAATTTGTTGAGCAAGACGAATCACTCGGATTCGCCGCGTGAGTTGATCTGCGTAACTACGAGGGACATATATCACTTTCTTTTTGCGCGACGTGGAAAATGTCTATTCCTCTATCGGCGCGTAGACGTCGCGCATCCCGTAATCCTCGCTTTTTGCGTGGGGAAGGCTGGTGTGACGTATCGGCGATTTACCTTAGAGACGTGGATTTATATCGCGCACTCTAAAATGCATTTTGCGAGCGACAGCACTTCGATGAGATTACCAGTCCCGATACGAATATGTTATCGGGCTTACCGAGATCTGGCTTTTAACGTACTCCATCATAACGTCATTATGTGTCTTACGGCGTACGTAAGATCGTGTCGTTCCGCAGTACGTGTACTGTGTACGCAAGAACAGCAAGTGGTATTAAAAATTCTGGCGTGTCGGGTCTATCAGACGTGCCTTCTTTTTACGGCCGCGACGCCCGCTTCCGTGTCAGAATCGTTTGTGAAAAAAATGATGGATCGCACACGCACATATAACGCGGGGTTGCGCAATGAATTCAGAATTATGCGTTTTATCGTTTCGTGCCGTTACTCTGGTTTTTTTTTTCATCACGTGGGCTGTTCTTCATACAACGCGATAAGACTGGCATTCCTCTGCCCAGGTACCGCATTTGCATTTTATATTTTATTAACTCTCTCATGACCACTGGAACAAATAAGTCTCAATTGCAAAATTTAAAAAGACTCGGTGACTGAAATGAAAATAACGTTACATTTAAAAAAAAACGAAAAAAAAACTTGGTCGCGAAAGAATTAAGTGAAGCGCGCGATCAATCGCGAGATGAGAATACTTTTATATTCAATCTTCAGCAGCAAACGGGACTCGGGGTAAAGTTTTAGCGGTTAAAGTTTCACGCCGATTACAAAGATCGGAGTCTCCGAAATATCTAACTGTCTAATAGCAAGTTTGGTTGCTTGCACTGGTGCGCACTGAGTGCACACTGAGGCTTGTTTATGGTCGGTTCTTATATTTAACTTTGTCTTTAATACACGTTCAAAGAGTATTTAGTCAAAAATGATCCGTGTAAACATTGTAATATTGTTAATATTCGCTCCGAAAGAGAAAATCAAATTTTCTTTAAAGGGGGGTTTCACCACCTAAAGGTGCGTGTGGGCAAAAAAAAATACGTGTCCCTTATTTTGAGCTGAAGAACAGCATATTCAACACTCATCAAAATGGGTGCGTCCCCACTTGGGACATGTTTACTTGCTTAGTGCGCACTAGTGCAACCAACCGAAGTCGCTATAAGTCCCCGTATTACACATTAACATATTCATCTTTTATATTCTCGCTTTATCCCGCGGAATCCAGGCTTTGTCGGCTAAGCTCTCTTACAGTATCTCGTTAAGTCGAACGCGTTAACGAGCGAAGATCTGGAAACAGGCCGCAATTATGGTTGCCTTTCGCGCGCAGCGATCGCCGCACGTCTCGCGGCCGTTTCACCCCCTCGCGGGGGCAGGTGGGGAGGCTTTTTTCTTGCGTACCCTGAGCCGGGGGGGGGGAAAGAGAAAGAGAGGCGGCGTACACGGGGCAAGTCGTACAAGGGCTGGTGGATGCTGAGAGGGTTGGCGGGGGCGGATTCGGCCGGGGGCGCGCGCCGTGGAGAACGCGCCGCTCGCTCTCGGGGGCGTGCGGGAGAGTCAGTGCGCGGCGAGGCGCGCCAGCTGCCGCACGTCATGATTCTACCCCAGGTGAGCGACGATGTACCCAGACACTACCACTACCATCCCGTCGTTAACAGGACGACCGCCGAGAATCGTGAATATATACACTCAAATGATAGTCCCTGTGCATGATGAGTGTCGGCGATCTCTTTTTACGTTAGTTCTCCACTTTCGTTTCGGCACGAAACCGCATGACTAAATCTTAATTTTCACCTTTCTCTCCTCCCCCGTTCCTCTGTCCCGCGGGTACCCCCCCCCCCCTCCCCCCACACGCATCTCTACGCGAGGAATCCGATTTTAGGGGGAGGAAAAAAAATGGATGGACGAATAGGATAATGCTGACGAGTGCGAGTGCGCGATTACGCGAGTAATCGCGCAGTGATGTGAGCGACCGGCGTAAGATTTCACGTGTTTCGTGCCGTGACGCGACGGTATGTTCGGGTAATTTTTTTTTAAGGGCGGAAGTGAATGAAGAAAATCGAGGTCCCTCTTGCCGAGGCTGGGGAAAAAAATGTGGTGTCATTAAGAGGCGACACTCGAGAAAAATGTGCGCCCGAAGAAAAATAATTTTCTCGTGTGCCACCAGTTGTTCCGTGGTTTTACGTACCGAGGTAGTGCGACGGAAATCCCTGCGTCTCGAGTTTCGTGAGAACCGCAAATTGCAACCGCAAATTACACTGCCGTTTTTAACATCGTGAAATTTGATGCCGGGCCTGCCGAGAAAATCGATTCGTTCACCGGCGAAACAGTTCGCGGGTAAAAATAACCCGTAAGATAACGCCGACGATGGAAATTTTAATTTATGAGGCATGAAGGTGTAATCGTACGAGAATCATAAGCCGAGTCGACGTAGAGGATGATAAAGCTCAATTTTATCAGCTCGGTGAGCCTCGTGAAACGCATTGTGAAAAAAAATATGCATTACCATCGGGAGATTCGACGATGGACAAATGGACAAAAAACGGAACCGTCGTCGGCGAAGTGGTTCGTGGTTAAAGACGTCGTGAATAATACACGTCGATCGAACGAAAAGGGAATTTCTATTCGAAAGGAGTGAGCTAGATCGAAGTTGGAATTAGATTTGGTCGGCACGGTTTTCGCGAACTTTCCGCGTATTTTTTCGTAAAGTGAGTTTTAAAATCTCGAAACTTTCCGAAGACGCATGATACGCAGAACTTTATGGAGGATTTCGCGAATCGGAGTTACCGCGGGAGCGGCTTTTCTATCGCCGCAACAGGTTCTCGTATATTCTGCTCGTTATCGTCACGATAATGCTAATTTCCCTATCGCGTTCCCGCGGCAGATTGATTATCAATGATTGGCCGAAGGAAATGTAGGCCGAGTCTACAGAAAAGGCAGAAAACGTCTTTTAGTCTGAAGAAAGTGAAATACCTGCTCTCGTTATACTTAATTTATATTATCGCTTATTCGCATATTGTGACGTAGTTTGCATGTCTCTGTTGTGTGATCCACTACAGGATGCATAGAACTGTCCAAATCTTCAGCATTAGCTTAGAGATATATTAACACATACGAGAAGAGTATAAAAGAGAGTTCGATGTCTTGAAATTCTTTTCGCGTGCATACAATTATTTTATTAAGAGCGTACAAACGTTTAGGAAGAATTTGTTTAACGTCAATACTTTTTATTTATTGCTTTAAATAAACTACGGAAATTAGTTCATATTTTAGGAGATTCTATATTTCGGAAAATTATCTTCCGATTAAATTGCGATATCTCTCCAATATCCTAAAATATTTCTTAACACATCAAGAACAGTGTGTTCTTTAGATAATCTAAAAATGTAAATATAAAGATTTTTCATTGTATTGGCCGTAAAGTGCTGAAAAAAATGACAATATTTAATTTCAGACTTTCTACAAATTTATAAACTTTGAGACGCGTAACAATAATTTGACTCTAAGACCGAAACTCTGATGTCAATCTCGATATTTAAGAAATTAACTTTTTGCAGTTCCTTGTTGAAACTTTGTCAATTTTTCGCGTAGTTTTCTAATCATTCGAATCCGTGCATGATTATATAATCCGCAAATTGAGATCATCACAAATTCCTTTAAACAATAAACATTCTTTGATTCGTGTTATATCCGTTGTAGATTGAATTGAAGATAAAATCTTATTTTCGCCCATTTGAGAGAAATAATTTGGACCGCAAAGGGTTAACAGGCAATTACAACGGTTATTATCCTCCGCGATCATTTCTACAAAAGGCAATAAGCCAGAGTTAAGAACTGTCGTACGTATAAAAGTTTATCTTCCATTGGGGAGGGAAATGATCTTCGTAAGAGATCATATCCGTAAAATTGTACACGTGAAACACTGTAAGTAGTAAGTTACAGTCGTATAACTCGTAGATATGCGCGATTTAATACTTTTTCCGCTATATGCAAGAGGATGAATACAAAAAGTCGCGTAGTTCCGGAGTGATAGAAATCTAATTTCGCGAGAGAGCGGTTAAAAGAGAGACGCCGCGAGTTGTTCGTCGCTGGTTGCCGCGAGCATGGCGCTTCGTAAAAATTACTTTTTCACCGGAGCGAAGTTTAAGAGGGCCTTTAAACAGCCGAGGTCGGTACTTCTCTGGAATCTCTAATCACTCTCTCGAGAGAAAGAGAAGGAGAGACGGTTTGGACACGATCGCGACTTGGAATCGACGCGATTAATCCGCTGAAAGACCGAACTTTTGGAAGAGAGCGCCGATATACGGCGAGTGGCAGATTGAATGTCGTTCCACGTGCCGGTTCGTTCGTGCTCTCGAGGGTAGAATTAAATGTTTTAGAGTTCTATAATTGGGAGCACTCACGAACATTTTTCAATTTTCCGCTGGAAACTTTGTTCATTATAGATCAGTGCTTATTAATTCGCAAGCCACATCGGTGAAACGGATTCGGGGTAGTGTGCCTGGGCAGTTTGCGACCCGTGATTTTTGAAATGATTTTCAGATCGCGAAGCGATGAAAGATCCCATCGTCCCCCGATGGTGGGAATTACGCCGTAATGTCGGCCCATTAAAAGCAATTACTGAAATGTCTTTGAAATGCTTCCTATCTCGCGACATTTTCTCTAAACGCGCCGTTAGAAGCGGAATATCTTGCGTGCGTTTAATGTCTCGCGTGCAAAGAAGTACGAGGCTCATTTCGAATGCGCAAATCATGTGCGTGATACAAACATGAGGGACTATAATGTTGAGGAATACAAGAGTATTGTGATAAACGTTTACAGCTATTGAGCTCAAGCTGCCTAAGTGTAAATAATTAATTGTTTACATTGAATTACGTCACGTCGCGCGGCAAGGATTGAAAAGAATATTTCTCGACTGGACTTTTTCATGTCCGGCGCAATCAACGAATTAACATGTTCCCTTTGTGCCCAATAAAATGCTCATTAAAACTTTCGTGCGGCACTAGGAGCAAAGTGTTTTTGTTTGCACTCGGCGGACCGCAAAACATCATAACGTCATGTATTACGTTTGCAATGCATATCTCGCAGTATATCTCGTTACTCCGAAAACACAAGTTTCAAAATAGAACTTGCAGCCACTAAATATACATCTCGGCGAAACGCAAAATGAGAAATTGGCGAGGAAATAGTAGGAATTCGTAATGCAGAAAGTTTGAAAGTAAAGTTCTGATGTTTACAAAAATAGTCATCCGTTCGACGTGCATGAAAAGAAGTACGAGATAAACTTGAAATAAAGACATAAAGACTCGAGGGACTCCGAACTCTTATATATAATTTACATCGTTAATATTACCTTCAGTATTTTTATGCAAATACGGTCTCTTATTAAAAAGCGTTAAGCGTAGTACTAATTAAAAAGTACTTAGCGGTCAACGTGATCGTTTTACTCTTTCGAAGTGCTACGGCGAATGAGCGTGGCTTTCTTCCGCGGGATTAAAGCACATTGAAAACTTTTCCAGCCACACGGCTATCCTGGGTGGCGGTTATCATCAACGTCCTCGCAGCGAAATAAGGAAGGAATTTCTTTTCTCAACGCAATCAAAAGTGGACAGTTTCGTATATTGTTATAGTTGCTCAAGTGCCGTAGCCTGGAAAGTCGCGCGTCTGTGACTACTCGATTCCCTCGTCGGGGCTCGAAAGGGAGTTTAACGTCGTGATATGGCGCGGAAGCGAAGTTTAATCTCTGTGCGGAACGTTTCCGCACAGTTCGCGATCGCCGAGTTTCGGATTTTCTACCGAGGAACTTGGAAGACGTGCCGCGATCGGACGTCCGCGAAATTCTTCTTTTGACAGAGCGGAATTCGCCCCGAACTCCTCGGATATTCACCGGCATGCCGGGGATTGTCCTGGCCGAATTTTAATCGGGCGAATTTTCCTGTCCCCTTGAAGAGATGCCGCAAGTTCTCGGCAAGTCTCGCTTACACCGCCAATCGTTTCGCGAAAACAGATGCAGTAAACGTGTATCCCCGCGAGGGGACGACTGCCACGTCTTTCAAGTTCTCATTTTACTGCGGAAGTTTCCTCGCATTTCGAACTCGATAGTGAGATACGCTTAGAATGAAATTTCCAAGAAGAGTTTAAAGAGCCGTTGCAGAGTTGTCTTAAACTGGACGGGAAAACTGGTCGTTGAACTGTAATAAATATTCCGATCGATAATTTTTTTTTATATGACGAACGATGAATGTGTGCCACGCGTTTAGGTGTGAGCGTTATTAAAGGAATGCCATTAAATAATTACACACGTGTCACTAGAAATAATCTTACTTGAAATCATATTACACGATTAAAAAAAAACGTCTATTTTAATGCACTTATTAATCAGGGACCGATGTAACATAAGACAATATAAGTGTTACATATTTTTTTATAAATATTTTAATACATACTGCACAGTATCTGCGTGCACAAAATTCTCTACTGCAGATATTTATAGCGAAAGATTGATACTGTACTATTTTCAATGTCTTTCTATATTGACAGTTTCCTTGGACTTTTTTTATCTTCATCAAACATTGGCCAATGTAACTCAAAGAGTAGTATATGCTTGCGAGAATTAGAATTCGTCGGAAGCTAAAGCAAGCATAAAAATGACATTCGATTTTGCAGTTGAATAAA